ATCCAATCCACACCTACCTGGTCAAAGAGACTAAAATGTGTTATACCTAACCAAACACATTCCTCTTTTACTCCCGATGCTGACATGTTTTGTTCTATAACGTGTACATTATGTTGCTCAACATTTCTTAAAAGAGTTTCATCTTCATAGCATAAGATTTTCAATCTATCTTTATGTATCATACAAAACCGACAAGGAAAATTGGAAGAGAAGCTTTCAGTAAAGCCAGTTATAGCATGTAAACCTAAGTTATCGCCTAGGATAAGACCTAAATCAAAATATAATTTTCCTTGAAATAAAGGTGTATTAATTTCAATACCATTACTTTGCAAAAAGTTGAACTCATCAATTAAAGGTCTAAAAATAATATTGTTTTTAAAATCTTCTCTGTCAGCAGAATGAAACAGAAGAACCATAAAAATATTAGACAAAACTGTTATAAGATGTGGAGGAAGGCATGCAACAGATACATATACCGCTCCTAATTTGTGAATACCAGAGTGACTACCAAGTATATTCCCACTTTCAAAGTCATCGAAGAACATGAACAGTGGTAAAACAGTGCGCCCATTATGTTTTTGTAACTTTGATTGCCAAAAAGATCCTTGAATAAAGTTGCTAATAATACTATGATTGTTGGACAAACTTTCCATATATTTCAAAGTATCTGTAAGTACATTTTCTAAAGAAAAAAATTTTTGGAGAATTTGACGCAATGGCATAAATTGCATTGTACAATTACAAGGTTCTAAGGTAGACAAGCCCCCCCTTAAAACTGTATTCAACCTTTGTCCAATTACAATTTCTTTGGGTTCTATATAAGTACATAATTGTTCACTGAAATATTTAAATCTTTTATGTTCACTTTTAAAATTATCTAAAGGGTTTTCAAYAACTTTCAAAATATTTTTAGAAGCTTCAAAAGATCCTGGGGAAATTTCACCACGGTTTAATAATTTCTCGGCATAATTATCAACACACGGTAAAATACCTTGTGTTATAACCTTATCAATACCATCAACCACCAGTTGAACAGCATTTCTTGGCATAATTGGATTTGCATAAAGAGACGCAAGAAAACAACTTATTGATTTATTTAAAAATTCTCTTGGGTCAGGTACATTATCTGATGTAGGAATTATAGAATTTAATGAAATATCTTCATTGAGCTGCTGGGAAGTAGACGGTTGTATAATTATGTCAGGACTTGTTTCAGAAGTTTCTATTGTGTTATGGCTTGATAAATGTTTTCTAAAAGAATTTTTTAAAGAAAATGATCTTGAGCAATTTCCTTCGGCACAAACATATGAATCAATACTTTGAGAATGATATAGATCTAAGTGTTTAAAAAGAACCTTAATATTAACAAATTGTTCTTTACATAAAAAACAAGTAGGCATTTTAAATTTAAAATAAACAATGTATCTTTTATTTAAACTTTAAAATCAAATACATTATAAAATACTTGAAAACTTTTTATTAATAAAATTAACTGTTAATTATTGTTCAACTAATACAAATTCAGTGAATAAAAAAATAATTAATCTCCCTGCAAAATAGGAATCCCTAAATCAGATAAAAGGGCACTAACAGTCGTGTAATTTTTATCCCAGRKCGTTTTTATCTGATAAAACCCCTTTTGAATAAAGGACCATATTCCTGTGGATTCTACAGGGTACTCTGCATTCAAAGTTAAAAATATTTTAAAGCAGCAATCAACAGCAGCTGTAATAGAGTGGAGTTTATAAATAGTATTATCAACGATTACCAAGTAGTTTTGAATAGAGTTATAGCTTGGTCCAACAATAATTATGAAGGGCTGTAATGTGTGGCCTAGGCTTGACAGTTTTTCTCGCCTTCTCGTAATGGTTTCTTGTATTTCAGCGTCGCTAGATATTTTAGTTATGAAACCATCTCTAGCCTCTAATTTTGATGGCTTCCATTGTGTTGATGCCTTTTTCCCCCTAACAACTGAATTCCCAATGAGGAATACCAAGCAAAACAGACAAACTATATTTGATGTTTCTTCATCTAAACAAAAAAAAAAAAACATTTTAATTTATTACTTGACATAATTCTTCATTTTAACATAATAATTCCATAACATACAGTAAACACTAAACATTTACCAATTAATTTTCAAATTAAAGCTTGAATAATAAGTTTAAGAATACAAAATAGGTA